CTTAGGGCGACCACCCAGTAGCAGGGGGTCGAACATCGTCATTATCAGACCAAGCAGGCCATGGACCCAGTGTGCTCGGACACGCAGGCAGGATGGAAGCCGGGCACTTGAACAACGTCTCGGTGCCCTTGAGACCAGGCTCCGGGAGGTCGAGACACAAGCAGCTGGAACGAGTGTCTCACGCCGACCTTAGCGCCCGACGCTGGACGACCTGAGCCCCTTCGCGGTGGGGGCGCTCCCGCGGCCTTGCTCGGAAGCAAGCAAGCAAAAGAGAAATCTTGGAGTGACGGGACCAGAGAGAGAGTTCCGTTTTAACCTTTCAGGGGTGACTGAGTGAATGGACCTTGGAGACCAGGGTGCACGTGCGTGTGAGGGGTGCAGGGTTCTTGTGCGTCTTTGTGCGCATGGTGTGGAAACGAGGTCGTCATGTGTTACTGATTCCCACCACTTGCCAAGGTATGCGCAGAAGAAATTCCCATACTTCAATGGCCATGGTGCTGCGGCAACTACAGCACACGGCGCTCAAGTAATCCTGGCGCAGCATGTCGGCAGTTTGGCGGGTGATGCACAGCGTGAAGACAGTGATATGAATGTTCCATTAAATTGGGCGGGTGACGAAGCTTTCGATTACGCAAACGGTACTCTAGAGTCTACAGGGTCTCAGCTTCTTGAGCAGTTGCGGTGTTCGGAGAGTGTTGTGATGTCATGCACCTGCCAAATTCATGGCGCCGAGTCTGCAAAGGTTCGAACTCCGCTCCGCCAAGGCCTGGAGGAATATAGAGAACTTTCAGAATCCATAATGCAGAAAAGGTTCACAGTCCGAGCGAGAAGGTCAATCGTGAGATTCCAGGTGAACGGTGAGCTGGTGCCGCGTCTAGCACTTGCATTCAGTCAGGTCGTGCCAGCCTCAACATCCTCAGCTTTTAGCCGTGCATAAGCTCACGTTCTTCACTCCGGCTTCTCGAAACAGCCCTGGTTTGACTGAGGTAATCGACAAGCTGGACCTCCGCTTTCAGGAATCGTCATTTAGCTGGCTGTACAACACGCTCGGCTGTCCGGCGGTTGAAGCTAGGCAGTCGGTTTGCACATCGCGGAGTGTTTCGGTTTAGCTTTCGTCTAGTTTTCCTGTGATGGTCATCTGCACATGCCAATTGGCAATCGCATGGTCCTTAGCGACCCCACCCCGTGCCATGAAGAGAGTGTCCAAGCTTCCTTCTTTGAGGCTACTATTTCCAAGACGCAGTACGAGACTATGTAGTTCAAAGCCTTGCGGCCGCAGTGAACGCCGCTCGATGCATCACGGTATCATTTTCGACGGGGTCGCACAGACAACAGGGAAAGTTGGTTTTGAAACTGGAGGTCTTCTTGGGGGGAGCTTTTCAAGGCAGATTCTGGAGGGGGAAGCACAGCTGACTCCATGTTGATCGGTAGACTGGTCACTAGTCACTAGTCAAACATGATATAGTGTATTGAGTGTATTGGTGGCATTGATCTTTCAAGCAGCACAGGCATCCGGCATGAATTGAGAACGAATGCATACCAGGTCAATCTCAGGTAAAGGTTCGTGTTTGCAGGACTTCAGGCAGTCACAAGCTAGTTTGCTGCCAAGCTTAAGCTGAGCTCAGGCAAACATTGCCTCGCTGCTGGAGCCGTTCCCTGTTTCCATCTGTTGTGGGGTTCAACATGAGCATGCGATACACTGGGACGACTCTTTGGCCTCTCTACTCTCAAGCCTTCTGAATTTCTTCGGATGCAAGCCGGCAGTAATAATCGCTGATAGCCCAAAGTCCTAGCAAGCTTGTCTTCAATAGAGCCATGTCTTTTAATAAAAGATTTTTAATTTTCATATGTTTACATTGTTCTTGGTTTTTGGTGTTTTCTATGTTTGCAGTTTCTCGGCTTATTTTGCAATCTGTGTTCTTTGTGTGTTTTCCTGTTTGTTTGTGCTTTTGCTTTTCTGCTTGTCTGATTCTCTGCTTGTCCGCTTCTTTGCTTGTCTGCTTTGCTTTTCTGTTCCTCCGCTTTTCTGTGTTTTCTGCTGTTCTTTCTGCCTTGTTTATGTCTTTGCTCGTCTTTGTCTTTTTCTGCGTTTCCGGTTTTCTGCTTCTTTGTTTTTCTTTCTGCTTCTTGGATCGCCAAATGAGGGGAAGAGTTGAACTGTGATCAACCGGGATCGCCAACGAAGGTAAGGGGGCGTGCTCAAGACATGTGATGAATCGGGGTCGCCAAAGTAGGCGGCGAGTTTAAGCTATGTGATCAACCGGGATCGCCAAAGGAAGCGGCGTGTTTAAGATATGTGTTGAAATGTGTTGAATCAGGATCGCCAAAGGGGCGAGTTTCAGATGTGTGATCAGCCGGGATCGCCTAATGAGGGGCGTGCTTGGTACGTGATGAATCGGGCTCGCCGAAGGAAGGGGCGAGTTTAAGATATTGTGATAAGCCGGGATCGCCAAAACAGGGGGCGTGTTCAGGAAAGGTCATGATTCGGGCTCGCCAATTGGATGTAGTCAACCGGGATCCTGTAATGAGAGGGCATGTGTAAGATGTGCGATGAATCGGGCTCAGCAAAAGAGGGCAACCTGAATCGCCAAATGAGGCGGCGTGCTTGAGAAATGTGCTCATCCGGGATTATGTGATGAACGTTTAAGTTTGGTATGTGATGAACACCTAATGAGCGGGCGGATGTGCGGAATGTGATCAAAATGGATCGCCGAATGAGGGAGCGCGTTTAGGATAGGTCATGAGTTTAAGAAATGTGACCAAGCGGGATCGCTTCATGAGAGGGCGTGTTTAAGATATGTCATGAATCGGCATCGCCAAATGATCGGGGCAGTTTGATACATGAATATATGTGATCAACCGGAACCTCCAAATGAGGCGGTGGTTTAAACGGGATCGCCAAAGGAGAGGGCGTGTTTCAGGGTGGTGTTCAACTTGGATCGGCAAATGAGGGGGCGTGTTTAAGATGGATGATGAACGGGGATCTCCAAAGAAGGGTGCGAGGTTAAGATATCTTTGATTACTTTAATGAACCCTGCCCTAGCCCTAGAACCTCCGGTTCAGTTCCGTGCCGTGAAATGCGAACACGTTTTTGTGTTTATTAAACCCTACCCTAGACCCTCCGGTTTCGTGCCGTGAAGTTCGAACACATTGGTTTTTGCGTGCGAAACCCTGCCCTGGACCCTCCGGCTTGGTGGCGTAAGGTGCGGATACGTTGGTTTTTGCGTACCCAACAGGACCCTGTGTTTGCCTTAGACGTCTTAATGTGTGCGCCTTAAATCCGCTGGCCTGCATCCAAAGCAAGACCCTATTTCGTTTACCCCAAGTACTGCTGCAGTTCACGGATCTTTTATTGACAATGACTCAATGAGTCACACCTCCAACACATGGAATCACCCGAAAGTGACGAAAAGTATGCACCGCACCACAGCCGGAGACGCGCAGCGAGCATCCTCTGTAAACAATTGGTCAATAGGAAGTGGGGACCAGATTTGTACCATGTGCTGTAAACACGAGTAACAGGATGCGGCGAGTTGGCAAGAGTGTAAATAATGTGATTTTAAGGGAGAATGTCCAACTGGCCATCGTTGCAGCTGCGTTGAAAAACAGAAACCAAAAAAAACTCCAAAATCAATTCTCGTGCAGTCCTCAATACCAACCGAGACAGGCTGAACAGGTATCTGCACCCCTACTGGCCTTTGGTGCTCTCCACGGTCGCCATCCCACTTGCGGAGCTACCCCAGTGTGGCACGGAGGACCGAATGTATATCACACGGCAGCAGGGACAGAGCACTGCTACTGACTTCATGTAGTCATTCTTTGGTCAGCGTCTGTCTTTGACTACGCTTTGGCTGAGCATTGCCAAGCGGCCGGAGGAGTATGTTGTGGAGCTGGGCCTCGGCCTCAGGTTTCCTCGGCAGCCCTTGGAGCTGAGAGCTTGCGGAGTGTGGCGGGCTTTTCGAAAGTCGTCCATGTCTTCAGCAACCAGTTACTCCAATGGACCCCGCATGAAACTCCGTGTCAGCCCGTGATCAGGCAATGCACCGTGAGTCAGGTTCATGCAAGCCAGACGGGAGATATACCTGTCGTCTCAGCCCACGCATTCAATTCCCACACCAGTACAAGAGGCCTCGAGACGGAGGAACCGATTGGCTGCGACTTTGTGGACGCGGACACAGGGCGATCCAAACCATACTACCAGTAACAACAAGACGCATGTGTACTGCAGGAGCCGGCGAGCCTTAAGTTTTGATAAATGCCAGTGCAGCAGCACGGGGCTTGCTTATCCTATCATTTCCCAAGTTGCTCTCTCTTTCGCTGTTTACATTCATGGGAATGTAGATGGTTTCTGTATCCTGGCAGCCAGCAATGTCACTGCTTGCAAGACGTTATTGGATGTCGCGCTCCAGGAAGATGGGCTGGTGCTTCTAGCATTGGAGGAAGGAGGCAGGACATCAACATCCTCGATTGCTCGCATAGGACATGGCATCCAAAGTATCATGGGCCGATGTTTTTCCTTCACGGCAGCAAGGCCCGCTCGAGCGCTGGAACGAAACGGCGACGGAGCAGCGTAAGGCCAGCTGACGTGGATCTCAGCGCACACAGTTGCTCATGCACTAGCCTAGTGACCAGAGACAAACTAGCTGTGTCCGCTACTTGTCATCGCCCACTTGCCCAAATGGTCGTCTGCGCGAAATAAGCGAAATGATTTGCCCTTCTTCAGTCCGTAGGACCATTGTGACCCAGTTGCCCAAACCCCAATCCCGCACCCGCGCCAGTGCATCCCTCCCTTCTCTGCTCTAGCCTCCAGTTTCCACGCCCGTCCCTTGTGCAACAAGAGCGCGAGAATGTGGATCACAAGCTGCACACTTGTGCTCTTGAAACAAGAAAGGGCAAAGGGGGCAAGTGGCGCAACTGGCAGAAATCGGTTTTCGTGCAAGTGCCGACAAGCCGTTAGCGGCTCAAAGTTTGTACGTGCACCGGAATGTTGGGCTTAACGACGGTTTGCTTGTGCATCCAGGTTTGTATCAATGACCTCCTCATCGAAGTGGACTGGGCAGGGCTTGCCCGCATACCCTAACGCAGTGCAGAGCTATAGGGCAGCATTTGCAGCTGGCATCGCAAGTGAAAGATCAAATTCTAGTTTGTTAGTGAGTCTGTCAAATCGTGTGCTACCCGGAAGGACGGCTTACGCAAGCAGGACATTCCCGATGCGCTTGACAGACGACCTCTCCACGCTCCTCGTTTTCCTCAGGCTTTGGCGCACTCTTCCAAAAAAAGAAGGCATGTTGCTATACCAAGTAGCATGGTCCTTCAGCTGCAGGCCGATCCTCACATGTCTCTTTAAAATCTCTAAACCCCATGCCTAAGATGACTCTCACAACTCATGCATCGAAAGTCTGAGGAGCTGGTCTTCCGCCGAATGCCCCAGCAGCAGGCATCCACACCGGGTTGACTCTTGATCGCGATCTGCGACTGCAGTGCCGGTTGTTGTCAAAGTAAGCAACTCTCGCACGGTGGTCTGTCCTCTAGGTGTGAAGGCGGCATCGGTTTTTGCATGCAAATGGCTGCTACTGGCATCGCAGGTTGCAATCAGAAATTGACTTTGATGACGGATGTATGAGCATGTTCCACAATGACAAGATAGGGGCCGACATGAACAGTAAGGAGAATCAGAAAACAGTCCGAAGCCGAGCCGCGCTGGACAGGGGAGAATCGGAATGCAGGCAACTTGTTTCCCTTGCTCGGCGTCGAAAGCTCTCCTCAGAATGGTGTGCTGCGCACAGGAGCAGCAGAGTGTGAGCTTCATGATGCTTGCGAAGGAAAGATATACTCATAGAGTGCAAAAGAAACAAGGGATTTAGAATTTATAGATTTTGCTCATCGAACAGCAAAATCTCTGCGCGGTGGAAGGGCAAATCAAATGATCAAATTGAAGCAAATATGGGTGTATGTCTTCATTTCGACGTCGCCGAGAGTTTCAGCATCCCCCCGGCTTTTCGGAGTCCTAGCGTATCAGCGGCCACTTCGCAAAATTATTGTTCGCAGATGCCAGAGGCAAAGCAATCGGGGCTCCGGAGGGGGTTCAACCTCAAGGGTCGGTGGTGACTGTGCAAGAACGACGATCTTTGGTGTGTTTTCGCACCCTCTTGAGAACCGAGGAGCAACCGAGGCCCACCAAAAAACTCCATCTGATGCTCTTGATGCTGGCCGTTCAAGGCCGCGGCCTCTGGTTCGCTCGGAAGTCGGGGGCCGCGAAGCACCCCCAGCTGCCCAGCTGATGCTCGCGGCACCAACCTGGAAAGGGCGCGGATGATGCGCACCAGGGGCAGAATTCCAAAAAGGGCGGCAGCACCGGTTCTGGCTAGCCCAAGCTTCTACTCCCGTTAGGGATCCCGTTGGGGATCTCTTGTCATCGTTTGACACGGCCCACCGGAATTTAGTTTCTGTAGTTTCGTTGGTTGAAGGAGGCCGCGCAGGACATGAGCCCCAGAAAGGGGAAGGTCGAATGAAAGGGAGCGAGGAAGTGTTTGGGGTTGAGAGATTCCAGGCTCTGGGCAGATGTTCGTGCCATGTCCATGCAAGACTGTATCAATAAACATGAAGTTAATGACAGCTCAGGGTTTGGGGCCTGTAGAGGGGCCCAGTAGTGCGGATGTTGACCCTTCACTAACAAAGCCTGAAACCTGTGATGGAAGGAGGTGCCACATCTTGACGACACGGGGATTGCTGCTTTGCCTGCAGAACTGCAAAAGTTGTCTTTTGTGCAATCGACTTGCTGCTCTTTGGCTGTGAGCATCCAAGGAGTCGCTTGATGAGTATTTGGGCTCGCAAATGCCCACCGTTATGTAGGAATTCCGCTGCAGATTCAGTCCTCGTGATGACGCCTGGTCTGTTGAAACTTATGTGGAGCACGAGTTATGTGCACACCAAGTCCGTGAGGCACGCCGCGTATAGTGGACATGTCCGGACCGGTCAGCTTGGATGTGCCAAAACGGCATAGCCCAGCTGGCATAGTGTTTTCCATTGGTTTCAGCAAAACAGTCGAGAAAGAAATTGCTTACAGCTAATTCTCACTGTACTAGGGTCGAGACAAATTATGCAGCTATAGCCTTTCGCTGTTGAGGAAGGCTGTCTGCAGAGGGCTAGCTGCGTCCATCCGCAAGGTCGGCTTATTTACATCTAGGGCCTCTAGGGACTTAACGTCTGATGCTAAGTCATTGACCGGGGTCAAGCAGGCTGACTGCATTCAGCGAAGGCCAAGCCGACTTGAACGATATAGAGGTAATCAAACCCGAGCGAGTACTCCATTTCTTGTGCCACATATGCCAGCCAAGCCTTAGAACCCTGCGAAACAGCTTGAAGTAGCACTTCACCTGTTAGCAACGCTGCTGCTGCTGAAGCTGGTCTGGTGTCGAATGAAGAAGAGGTTCACGCAAAGCCTGGGACACTCCAAGAACTCGCTCAGGTTCCTCCAGATGCTTCCGTCGCTCAGGCTGCAGGCCCTGGCCTGCAGCGAGACTGGGCGAAGCACAGCACGAATTTCGTGTTCGATGCAGCCTGTACTCGTAGCTTCACTTACTTGGGACAAAGGTTTGGCTGAAGCTTGTCAGGGACTGCGCCGGCCGGACTTGCCTTGGACCTGCTCCAACTGGCCCTACACTCAGTGTGCTTGGGCGTGCTTGGAGCTTGGGATGTGCAGCGGAAGGCTTTCTTGGAATCCTGAGCAGAATGTGGCGTTGTACTTAAACTTAGCTGCTCCAGCGAATGCTGAGGGTGAGAAGGATCTAGGGTGCTGGCTAGAGTTTATTCTTGCAAGTCTTGCTTTGTTTGGCACTTGAGCAGGTGAACTCGGACTATTGATTCTATCACGGGAAGGGGGAGGGACTTACGCGGTACCCCGAATTCCTTTGTTTTTCGAGGAAGCCGGGGTCAATAGTGCTTTCAACAGTAACGATAGCATTACAACCACAAGAACGACCAACAGCAAGGAAGACAAGCATAATTATGGTAGAGCCACAGTCATGACAACAGCGTGGTGTTAACAACACAACAGCAGCGGCAGAACTCACAGACACTGACAGCCGCACTGACCGTGACAATAAAGAGCACTCTCCCCCCTTTTTCGTCAGTTGGGATGGCTGTAGATGGCTTCAGCTTGACCCTCATGTACACGACATGAATGGAAAACGTCGTTTCTCTTCCGCAACGGGGCCTTGCAAATGCGAATCTTCGCAGGAAGCTGCTCCTTGCATCTCTGCTGTTTGCCGGCTCCAGTTGATGTACAGACTTGCACAGCTGTTCAGCCTGCAGCAACGCCGCAGCACCCGCAAGCCCGAAGAGCTGAGGCGGTGCAGAAGCAGCGCAATTCCAGGGATGATACCAGTAGCTCGTCAAGCCTTCGCAAAACTTGTAAGACGCGCCGCCTCATCCGATGACCGAGATGGCAGGGGCGGAGCGCAGGTTCGAGGGAAGGCGGAGATCAAGAAGTTTGTGCGAAACCCTTCTCCTCGTTGTGCACGCCCGTGAGAAATTATCAGATTCTGGTTTGGAAGCCATTTCTGCATCATCCTCCCATTCCTACCGGGGCCTGCTAAGCCACATTGCACCATTGCAGCCCAAACACATCGACATGTTTTGTCTCTAGTCGTTTGATCCCGGCGCAGCCATGCTACATACATACATATACACACATACACACATACACACATAAATACATACATACATACATACATACATACTCATAGGCATTTGCATCAAGTGAATCAAGTGTAAATAGGTTCATAGGATATAGGCTAGAGCTGTGTCCGCTTTGCTGGTATTCCTGGCCCCACTCCCGAGGCTCAAATTGAGCTCCCGAAGCTCCCGACCGAGCCCAAATGCATTTCCCAAGGCTTGCTACGCACATTTGGCCCTAGTTTCCACGAATCTGGTGTTCAATGCCATCCCCACACCCGAACATGCTTTAATCTGTCCTGATTCAGCAACAACCCATAAATTTTATGGCTCAAACTGAGCGCCCGAAGCTTTGCGCGAACCCGCATTAAATGCAGTTGGCCCTGGTTTCAGCAGATCTTGTGTGCAATGCCAGCCGGGCGTGGACAATGGACAACCCGTCCACAGTTCTGTCAGCTTTGCTGGTGCCATATATTGCGACCCAACGATAGCCATTCCGCTGTTGGGGATGTTCAATATATATATATATACACGCACACACACACACACACACACATATATATATATGCATACACATGTGTATACAGATATGCATATATGTCATACTTATGTTCACCCGTGCATCGAGTTTGGATTGGGCACACACACACACAAAACCTCTGTATTCGTGGATGCTTTCGCATTCGCGATGCCCCATTTGTTCGGATGTTTCGTGCTGTGCAAATCCTTAGCGATACTGCTCTTGGCAGGCACCTTCTGCAAATAGCTCCGATGATGGAGGTAACCTACAAGGACTTCCGCTACTTCATGCGCCTGCTCTCACGACGCGCTCCTCGGACTGGCAAGCAGGAGTCCAACCGGACGTGCTGCCATGCCCGCCGAGCCTGACCTCACCGCCTTGACTTCCGCTCTCAAAGCTCACTCAGTGTTCAGTCGTCGTCCGGGAGACTGCTGTATAGCTGAACTTCCAGTAGCCAGTTCCTCGACAGTCGGAAAGATGCCTGCTGCTTGGCCTCAGCTTCAAAAACAAAGGCCCAGCTCTGGACAGAGATGGTCGTGGACGACACAATTCTGCACAATACCGAGACCGAGAAGTGCGATCGTTTTTTGAGGTACAACGAGGCTCGGGCTTGGACAGGGAGCTGTACCAACGGATCCCATTGTGAAACCCTCACTGCGAGGCTGAGCATCCCATCGTCTGCCAGCTAGGACGGGCGAGATGGTTGTTGTGCGATTGGCTTTGGGTGCTAGCTTTTTTTGTGCACACGACAGGCACAGAGCGGAAAGGTCGCACCTGTCCGAGACGATTGCACTGGGCTGCCACATGTGGTGAATTACTTGTATCCAGGGCTGTAGTCTTCGCTCAGCGCTGACGGATCCCTCACTTCTCCGTTCGTGCTGCTTCTAGAAGTGTCTTGAGACATGCGGGGCTAGCCCTTTGGCGTCTGCCGTGTGGGAGACCTTGCACGTCATCATGCGGTGATGCTCCACTGACCTCCGGTGCTGCCGCAGGAGGCAGCGACCCAAGCAAACTTGCTCAGGCGGCAGAGATCGTGCAGAGGCATCTCGTGGTGACACCTGGTGGTAATGTATACCGTAGGCATAGCTCTGCATTGCACCTGCTGCACAGCTGTTTGGGTTTGTCTGGCTGGGAAGTCCGGGGGGCTACATGCCAGGTGCTGACAAGTTGTGGGTGCACGTAGTTGTGCGATCATCCATGAGGCGTGCTTTCCGAAGGGTACAACCTACAGTCATTGGTCCCAACATGTACATCTGAACAGAATTTCCACCTCAACTTTCGGAGAATATACCGAGATTAACGGATTTAGTTGTGCTCAGGGCGCGTTCAGAGTGTTGCGTGCTAGCTGGCGGCATTCGGCAATCGACTTCAGTTGGCCGAAGATATAGCCCAGCAGCGCCCGCGTTGTGAGGTATGGCTACGATGAGGTCAACCTCAACTGTGGATGTCCCTCCAGCCGTGTAGCTGGCAAAGGCCACACGTGGCTGAAGAACTGCTGTATCTAGCTGGCCTTGCACTTTGCTTGGTATACTAACTATGGCCTATAGGGCCTGGCAAACATTTTTCTACACGTGTCGCGACATCGTTCCAACACACCACACTCGCTGTAATGCCGTGGAGTGTTGTATTGCGCTGGCGATGCTGGCAAGCGTACAGGCGAGTTCGGCTGCTCCTTGATGAAGAAGAAGGACGTAGTTCGAGAAGTGCCTCGGTCTGCGCTAGGCCATTGGCAGGCAGTATCTCTGAGATCTACGACCCTATGCTGCTCGAAGATCCACCCATGCAGCAGCGCTGACTGTGTAGCCATCCCGACTACGAAACCAGCAGGCCATCCGGGCGATGAGTCGGGCGGTGCAGATTCCGGTAACTGTGAAGTGCCGCCACCTGGCTAAACCCTTTGATCCGCTTCCTGCGTCAGATCACGCCCCGCTGGCCCATGAGAGAACTGGGATAATGTTTCGAAGCCTCTGAATAATTACGGCTTCACTGGTGACGCATAGGTGCATGTGTGACATGCACAACGCAATCCCAGGTTTGGGTGCAGATGAGTTTGACTCGCCCGAGTTTACCCGCGACTTCGTGAGAACCGTTGCCCAGGGTGGGTGCAAGCATTTCATCATCCATGCGCGGAAGGCCTGGGACACATGCTAATTGGAAGGCTGGAAGGCCAAACTGAAGCTGATGGCCGGGACATGCTGGGACTCCGGTGCGGCTGTGCAGGCCTGGCTCAGTGGGCTGTCGCCTGCGCAGAACCGAACTATTCCGCCGCTGCACTATCCAAGAATCCTCGACCTTTGCCATCAGCCACTTGTCATGTGAGACCACAAATTACGTTTGCCTTCTTGGATCGCTGCATGCAGCGCCAGAATCTTCCTGTGTGGTTGCAAGCGTTCCCGTTTGCATGGTAGCATGCCTTAGTCAGTCTGTGGATTGAAAGGAGACCCTGTGTCGTGGCAGCCGCCCACTAGGGTGGGCCAAACGGTGTTGAGATTGCTGACTGATGTGTCATCGCTGAAAGGTTCCCAGATCTCAAGTTCAGCATCAACGGCGGGATCGCTGATGTGGGCCATGCGAGAGTGCCTGTTTTGCCAAAGGTAGCTCTGTGTCTGTGTCTGTGTCTGTG